GAAGAGCAAGAAGTTGAGGTTGAAGAGGAGGCCACAGCAAGAGTTGAAGAAGAAGTACCAACCATGGCAGTCGACAATCGAACCATTAAGGAGCTTTCTGCCTCGGGTTTGGCCAATGCAGCCCCTATTTGCATCCAATACCCTAGGGCAGCCCCTGAGAAGACCGATGAATTTGAGTTAAAGTCAAGTTTGTTACATCATATACCCAAGTTCCATGGGTTATCAATGGAGGACCCCAATAAACATTTAAAGGAGTTCGAAGTAGTATGCTCGAGTATGACACCGGTGAACGTGGACGGCAACATATTGAAGATGAAGGCTTTCCCCTTTTCTTTGTTGGAGAAGGCCAAGGATTGGTTGTATGAGTTGGCTCCCGGCACTGTCACATCATGGGAGAGCATGCAGCGAGCTTTCTTAGAGAAGTTCTTCCCGACATCACGAGTCATTCTTCTTCGAAAGAAGATTAGTGGAATTCAGCAAAGCCCAGGTGAATATTTTCCATCTTATTATGAAGGATTTAAATCACTTGTTGCTTCTTGTCCACAACATCAGATGAAGGAGGAGCTACTTCTTCAATATTTTTACGAAGGTCTTTTACCACTTGAACGACAAATGTTGGATGCGTCCGCGAGAGGAGCTCTAGTGGACAAGACACCCAGGGATGCCAAAACTCTCATTGCGAATCGAGCACTCAATGCACAGCAATATGAAGGCGTTGGGCAACGAGACACCCCACGGCCACATCATGTAAATGAGGTAAGTTCTATTTCTGAGTTACAATCCCAAATGGCTAACCTTACGTCTATGTTATCGCAGTTGGTTGAAGGCCCCAAAACGCAAGGAACTACAGTCTGTGGTGTATGCTCCATTCAAGGACACCAATCTGATCAATGCCCTCAATTAATTGAGAATGGAGGGTGGGAATCTGCCAATGCTGTGGGATATGGAAATCAAAACCAACCAATGGGTGATCCGTTTTCCAATACATACAATCAGGGATGGCGTGACCACCCCAATTTCAGATGGAGAGATGCACCACAATATGGCCAACAAAGTGGATTCCGACAACCCCCGGGTTTCTTTCCAAGGCCAATGGCACCACAACCACCTCCTCAAGCACAATCATCTCAAACCAACCCAGGTACGTCTATGAATGATGATAAAACATATCAGTTACTAACCACAATGGCGCAGGGAATGCAGAACTAAGCAAAGGAGGTTAATGAGCTAAAGAAGCAAATGGGCCAAATGGCCGAGTTTTTGGGACAATTCCGTGAAAATGGTAAGTTGCCGAGTACTACGGTGGTCAATCCAAAGGGTGGTTTCGAATCTGCGAAGGCTATCACACTACGAAGTGGAAAAGAGGTGAGAAACAAGGAAGATGAGAAGATACAACTCGAAGAAGAGGAGCACACCTACCCCACGGCAAGGGTAGCATCACCCATGCCGTAGCCACCTAAGACATCTCATCCGTCCACTTCAGGTAAGAATGTCCCAAATGTTGTGATTTCGAACACTAATCTGCCCAATGTTCCTTTCCCTCGCAGATTTGCACAATCGAAGAAGGAAGAAAGCGAAAATGACATTTTGGATACCTTTCGAAAAGTCCAAGTAAACATTCCTTTACTTGATGCTATTAAGCAAGTGCCCAGGTACGCAAAGTTTTAAAAGAGTTATGCACAACTAGGAAAAGAATTTCAAACAAAGAAGTTGTGAAAGTAAGTGAAAATGTATCCGCAGTTTTGCAACGAAAGTTACCTCCAAAGTGTAAGGATCCAGGGAGCTTTACTATCCCATGCGTAATTGGAAACACTAGATTTGAACAATGCATGTTAGATTTAGGTGCTTCTATTAATGTTATGCCATATTCCATTTATGCATCAATGAACCTTGGTGAGTTAAAACAAGATGGCGTTATAATTCAATTGGCCGATCGTTCTAACGCTTATCCCAAGGGAGTCCTTGAGGATGTTTTAGTGCAGGTAAATCATCTTATCTTTCCTGCAGATTTTTATGTTTTAGAAATGGAGGACTCGAGCCATGCTCCATCATTGCCAATCTTGCTAGGCCGACCATTCATGAAAACAGCGAGAACAAAGATAGACGTGTTTATGGGAACATTAACCATGGAGTTTGATGGGGACATTATTCGTTTTTAATCTTTCTGAAACCATTAAATACCCAATGGAGGACCATTCTTGTTTCGCTATTGACATTGTTGATTCTTTGGCACAGGTACACTTGGATCGAATGAACGATGATGCACTTGAAATAGCCTTAGTGCACGGCATAGGAGCAAGAAACAAGTGTGGGGGAATCCATGCAACCTACGGCATGGACTTGAACCCTATTGCCGTGCCCCCTTGTGGTGAAGTGGTTGAAATGGTCGCGGCCCTCGAGTCATTGCCATCACATTCTGGTAAGTCTCCACTCCCAATTTTAGATTCGGTTTTGGCTAACAAGTTACTTCCATCCATTGTGCAGCCACCTACACTTGAGTTGAAGCCATTACCTAGTCACTTGAAGTATGTTTTCTTGGGAGAAGATCAAACACTACCCGTTATCATATCTAGCTCATTCACGGCCCAAGAAGAAGACAAGTTGATAAGGGTGTTAAAGGAGCACAAACCTGCCATTGGATGGACCTTGGCGGATATTAAAGGCATTAGTCCCACCACGTGCATGCATCACATCCTTTTGGAGGAGGGAGCCAAGCCATCTTGGGAGGCTCAATGTCGCCTTAATCCGCCTATGTTGGAAGTAGTAAAAAAGGAGGTTATAAAATTGCTTGATTGTGGTGTCATATATCCTATTTCTGATACTCGTTGGGTGTCACCTGTGCAGGTTGTTCCAAAGAAGTCCGGAGTCACGGTGGTGAAGAATGAAGAACAAGAGCTTGTACCCACTCGTGTTGTGACCGGTTGGCGTGTTTGTATTGATTACAGGAAGTTAAATGCCATGACAAGGAAGGATCACTTTCCTTTGCCATTCTTGGACCAAATGTTAGAAAGGTTAGCCGGTTATCAATTTTATTGCTTTCTTGATGGATATTCTGGATATAACCAAATTGTGATAGCTCCAGAGGACCAGGAAAAGACAACCTTCACGTGCCCATTTGGCACCTTTGCATATAGGCGCATGCCATTTGGTTTGTGCAATGCCCCTGCGACATTTCAACGTTGCATGGTAAGTATATTTTCTGATTATGTGGAGAAGATTATTGAGATATTCATGGATGATTTTAGCGTGTTTGGTAATTCATTTGATCATTGCTTGAATAATCTGACCTTAATTCTGAAACGTTGTGTTGAAACGAATCTTGTGCTTAATTGGGAAAAATGTCACTTCATGGTTAAGCAAGGTATTGTTCTAGGACATATTATTTCTGAAAAAGGCATTGAAGTGGATAAATCTAAGGTAGACCTTGTTCGTCACTTACCCTCTCCAACTTCGGTTAGAGAGGTTCGTTCGTTTCTTGGTCACGCAGGTTTTTATAGGCGTTTCATAAAGGATTTCTCCAAGATTGCACAGCCACTATGCCGGTTACTTCAAAAAGAGGTGGCTTTCGAGTTTGATGAGGCATGCTCCACGGCATTCAAGCACTTAAAGGAAGCTCTCACTTCGGCTCCCATTATCACATCTCCAGATTGGAGCCTTCCATTCGAGTTGATGTGCGATGCTTCGGACTATGCGATTGGTGCTGTTTTGGGGCAGCGAAAGAACAAACAACCTCATGTTATTTATTATGCATCTAGGACACTAAATGATGCTCAATTAAATTACTCAACCACTGAAAAAGAATTACTTGCTGTGGTATTTGCATTAGATAAGTTCCGATCATACTTACTTGGTACTAAAGTTATTATCTTTATTGATCATGCAGCTCTCAAGTATTTGCTCACGAAAAAGGAGGCCAAGCCTAGACTAATTCGTTGGATGTTGCTTCTACAAGAGTTTGACATTGAGATTCGGGATAAGAAGGGCGTGGAGAATGTGGTGGCTGACCACCTAAGTCGAATGGTGCATGAGGAAGCATCGCCAATTTTTTAAACCTTCCCCGATGAGCAACTACTGTCGATCCAGGTAAGTGAGCCTTGGTATGCAGATTTAGTGAACTTTTTGGTGTCTAAACATATCCCTAGCACACTTAATAGGAATCAAAGTGATAAGCTTAAAAAGGATGCTAGGTTTTATGTTTGGGATGATCCATACCTTTGGAAATTTTATCCCGATCAGATTGTACGACGTTGTGTGAATGAATCTGAGTTTCAATCTATTTTAACATTCTGTCATTCGTATGCATATGGGGGACATTTTGGCACCTAACGTACTGCCCTTAAAGTCTTAGAATGTGGGTTTTATTGGCCAACCATTTTTAGGGATGCTAGGACATTTTGCCTTACATGTGATCGTTGTCAACGAATGGGTAATATAAGTACTAAGGATCAAATGCCACAAAACCCTATACTTTCTGTTGAAATATTTGATGTGTGGGGCATTGATTTTATGGGTCATTTTCCTTCATCACATGGTTTTCTCTATATCTTGTTGGCGGTGGATTATGTTTCCAAATGGGTGGAAGCAAAAGCCACCCGAACTAACGATTCTAAAGTGGTTGCAGATTTTGTGAAGTCTAACATTTTTGCCAGGTTTGGAATGCCTCGAGTCCTTATCAGTGATGGAGGTTCACATTTTTGTAATCGCTCAATCGAGGCACTGCTCAAGAAGTACAACGTTACACATAGGGTTTCGACACCCTATCATCCTCAAACAAGCGGGCAAGCCGAGGTGTCGAATCGGGAGATAAAGCAGATTCTTGAGAAGACAGTTGGGCCAACACGAAAAGATTGGAGCTTGAGATTAGAAGATGCATTATGGGCTTATAGGACCGCCTACAAACACCCATCGGAATGTCTCCCTTTCGGCTTGTGTATGGTAAACCATGTCACTTACCTGTGGAGTTGGAGCACAAGGCTCATTGGGCCGTGAGGAAATTCAACATGGATGTAGATGAGGCGGGACTTCATCGTAAGCTACAATTGAATGAGCTTGAGGAAATCCGGAATGAAGCTTACGAGAATGCTCGCCTTTACAAGGAAAAGACGAAGGCCTTTCATGACAAGATGATTCGCACCAAGTCCTTCGCTGTTGGACAAAAAGTGTTGTTGTTTAATTCTCGTCTTCGTCTTTTTCCGGGTAAGTTACGTTCACGTTGGATTGGACCCTTTGTTATTACTGATGTTTTTCCTCATGGTGCAGTCCAGGTTCGTAGTTTCAAAACAGGTCAAGAGTTCAAGGTGAATGGGCATCGCTTGAAGCCATACTACGAGAGCTTTGTAGAACATGATGTGGAGGAGACAACCCACTATGCCGTGGGTTCCCATGAAGGTTGATCAATGTGGCATCGTCCGGCTGCAAGACGTTAAAGAAAGCGCTACTTGGGAGGCAACCCATGCATTCGACAAAGGAAGACCTAGAGAGCACTCCAATTCCAGATTTGCGTTCCTAAACCCTTCTCTTTGTTGTTATTTCATTTCTGCCATTTAGATTGTTTAGTTGCTGTTTTCTTTGCTTGTTGGTTATTTGTGTTAGTTTATGCTTGAAACATTGAGGACAATGTTTGATTTAAGTGTGGGGGGGTAACCAAAGTGTTTTGATACAAATTCGTAGGGTTTTATCACCCATAATTTCAAATGTTGTTCCTTGCTGTTTTTAGGTGTTTTTAGGTTGTTTTGGTGTGTTTTAGTATATGTTGTTCTAAAAATCCGAAAATCCCAGAAAAAAATTGAAAAATTGTTTTGAAAAAAAAAACAAAAAGAGTTGTGTTTGAGTTGTTTTTGTGTGTTTGTTTGTGTCTTAGGGTACCTTCCAACACAATGATGAGGATTCGGTTTGTAATTGCATGACTGTTAAAGAGAATGATTAACATGGATGAAAGTTTGATTTACTCTTTGTTTATGCTTGGTTGTGGTTATAACTTATGAATTCACATGTAATCATAAAGAAAAAATTAGTTTTTGTAACATGCTTGAAGGAAGGAACTCAAACTAACGCTACAACCTTGTGAGACTTGAGCCTAAACGTTTATTTGGAGAGTTAAAATCTGTGCATTATTGTTTTCTAAGTCGTTGCATGATCTCATATTTCCTTGCTTGGTTACTACTTAGAAGGCGTTTCATCATTTAGTTCCAAATGCTAGAACTCATGCCCATTTCATTCAAAGCATGTTATTGATTTGCATAACACATATTCAAGATGAAGTTATGTAGTTACCACCACCTTAGCCAAACTGCCGTGTATCCCATATCATTTTATGTTTAAGTTTAACCCCGTTGAGCCTTGTTTAACCTATGTTGTTTGTTAACCCACAGTATCCTTACCTAGCCTAGTTTAGGACCATCCATACCCTTGTTCTTAAAGCATAGTAAAGCATGATTCGAATTGAATTCCTTTTGATCTATGTTAGCAGAAAACAAGTGTGGGGGAAGTATTTTTTCATGAGGAATTGTGTGCCATAGGCACGGCAAAGAAAAGAAAAGAAAAAAAAAATTCGTGGAAAAAAAAAAATTGAAGAAAAAAATATGAAAAGTTTGAAAAAAGAGTTGAAAGTTGAGAAAAAGAGTTTCAAAGTATTGTTTGTTGAAGTAAGGGTCCAAAACAATGAATTTGACCCTAAGGAGTTGTTTAAGTCTCCCCCTTGTGTGTTAAAGTTAATTTCTGCAATCTAAGTGAATTCTAAGTCTCAAGTTCATTACTTTGCTTACTATCGCTTGAAGAACGGTTGTTTTCCCTCTCATTTCCTTGTTAGCCAATACCCCAAGCCCCATTACAACCCTTAACCTCTATCTTGAGTGTTATGTGTTTCAATTTGTGGAGTTTGAATTTGGTATGAGCATATGGTGTCACTGGTTCTCGCATCTAAGTAGTAGCATTCCATTCATGAGATTATATCTAAACATTCTTCTTAACTCTAGAAATTGCGTTCTTTGTGAAACATATATGTGAGCATTCGTTTTCATATCTACATCAATCTTCTCACATATGACTAGTATAGGGTCTGTAGTTAGAAAATCTGAGTGAAAATAGAGTGTATATCTTGTAAGGAATTGAGGGAATTCTCTAAGGCATGTTACTACATTCAAAGCATTGTTTTAATTGATTACTTGTGAACTAGTAAGTTGTGGCTTTAATTAAGTATGTGCTTATGTGTAAAGATGACTCAAATCTGTGGGGATAACAATCTCTAATACGTCATGTGCATTGGAAATCCCTGAGGCAAACGTTGGAAGGTTTAGGTTTTGTTTTGGTTAGTTTGTTTCGTTTTGTTTTCTTTCTTTTGTTTGTTTTGCTCGAGGACTAGCAAAAGCTAAGTGTGGGGGAATTTGATAGGAGCATATTTATGCGACTTAGTGGGCTTGTTCTCATGCATTTATGTTGTTTTTCTTGAGTTATTTCAATGTTTAAAGTCAGTTTCATGCAATTTCAGGTTTAGAGACAAATGATGCAAATAAGTGCGAAATGGAGCATTTTAGAGCAAAATTGAGCTGGAATGTTGTGTATGCTTATGGAGCACAAGGAATGGACGAGTTTGAAGGTCAAAGGAGCTTAAGAAAGGAAGAAATGAAAGTGAAGAACAAAGATTCGGAATTGGAAACCAAAGTTTCTAAAGTTGGAAGTTTCTATTCTTGGAGGTTTCCATTTTCGAGAGTTTCTATTCTTGGCTTTGGGCTTTTAGATGACCTAGCCTTTCCCCCCTAACCCTTGCCGCACCTAGGGCTTTAGAAATCTGATTTCCTTGCCTTGCAAGGCATTCTAGAAGGCCCATTCCTTTACCCTAGTAACCAGCCGCACCCTAGGCCCTTTTCCCACTTAAATTCTAATTGTTTTAACCTAATTTCTGATGGATTTGGGTTTTAGAGGCCCTAATCTGTTTGCCCCAGGGTTTGTAGTGCTTATATATATGTGTTTTAACCCCTAGGCCGAACTACAACCTGCTACATTCATTCAAAATTCCAGAAACCCTAGTTCTATAATCTGCCGCACCTTCCCACCATTCTTGCCGAGCTTTCCACCATCTTCCATCCATCCACCACTCATCCACACTCATCCTACAACCTTTGCCGTGCCTCTACACCCCCCAAATTCCATTCTACGTCATCAAAACAATCCAAGAAGCATCACCATACAATCTGCCGCAAGCAACAAAAGGGACAGATTCTCTACAATTGTTTGGCTTTTCAATCTGAGTTGTTGAACGATTTTAGGTGTTTTCTATCTTATATTTCAATGTCTAATTCGTGTAATCTTTGTTTTGCTTTAAGTATGATTGGCTAAATTCGTTTTGGCTAAGGGTGGATTCAAAACCATGATTATATATGTGAAATAAGTTGATTACTTCCAGTTATCGTTGCATAAGTCGTGAATACAATTCGCTTAATCGTTTGATTTAGAACTTATTCTTGTATGTTGATTGCGAGTGCACGCTTAATTTGCATGCTTGAATTTGATGCTAGGATATAAGTTTGTTTCACCTAATCGTTATGAATTTATATTCGCAAGTAGTAAAGGTCGCTAGTCACGATCGTGTTAAGTAGATTCCTGGCAAGAGTATCATGCTTTTCATAGTTACGAATGCCTTGTCGATGCTTATGATTTCCAAAGAACGTAATGATTCTAACTTGTATCTTTATCATGTTGTTCATATAGAGAACTTGTTAGGAATAATTTGTTTGCGATGCATATTCATCCAATTCAATGATTCTAGGGAAATCTGAAGGTTAATTTAAGCGGATCTAATTAACTTGGAGTGTCGAGATTCATAACTTATTAATTTGATAACTGGAAATCGATTTAGGTTGCATATATTTCATGTGTGGAGAAGAACCCCTTAGTTATTCCATCATCCGTTGATTCATTACAATTTTATCTTACAATCTGTTTTTGTTTCACAATCTGCCCATTTAGTTATTTTCGTCCAAATCAAATCCCCATTTGTTTTGAAGTCCTAGATTAGTTAGAAAGTGTGTTGGTTTATGTTTTTAAGTGTTTTGGTACAAGTTAAAACCCAAATTCGTCCAATTTGGTGCTTTGTGTTCAAAACTGCCCAGAAAGTGTTTTTAAGGCAGTTTTGAGTCTTTTGGTTGCTGTTTTGAGTTTTTGGTTTGTTTTAGTATTTTAAACGTTAGTTTTGCATTCCTTGAGTCTAATCTAGTGTTTTAAACTTTGTTTTTACGTTTCTAATTCAGTTTTCAAGTGATTAGTACCCCTAGTTAATCCCCAGTTAGAACGATCCCTACTTACATCATTACTACAATTGTCACAAATAGGGTTTAATTGTGTGTCAACATAATTTTCACATCAACTACACTCATTACATCCACTCATTACCAAACATTACTCATTACCAAACACTTATCCACTACACCCATTACATCCCCTCATTACCAAACATCCATCCACTACACCCATTACATCCACTCATTACCACAACACTCACCCACTACACACATTACATCCATTCATTACAACTCCATACACTCCTCTCCCTAGCCTATAAATACATCCACCCTTCACCATAATTTGGGGGCCATCATCCAAAGACACTACATTTCACATCTCACAACTTCATTCACAAACCCAATTTCCTTGCCGTGACCTGCATCCATTCATCTAGCCATACTACATCTCACCAATCCATACACTTTTATCTCTTAGCCGTGCAAATACATTCCTAACCTTTCCATATATCCATATACATCCTAGACACTTGTGCTGCAACAAGGTGGTGAAAACAAAGATCCTTGGCGTTTCAAGCTTGGAACTTTGGAGCGTTTTAGGTGTACTTCGTTCTTGCTTTCAATGTCTACTTTGTTATTTTCTAATTTTGTTGCAATTATGAGTGGCTAAACCCCTATTTAGTTAGGGGGAAGTTTGAAGCCATGAACATGCTTGAGATATGAATTGATTTCTTCCAATTGTGATTTGATAAGTTGCGATTGCAATTCAATTATCTATTTTATTCATAACTGATTCTTGTATGTTTATTAAGGATGCATACTTAGTTTTCATGCATGAATTAGATGCTAGAATATAAATGAGTTTCACCTAATCGTTACAAGTTTATATTCATGAGTAGTAAAGGTTGTTTATCACAATTGTGTTAATTGAATTCTTGGCAAATGTATCATACATTCATAGTTATAATTGCCTCGTCAACACTTATGATTTTCATTGAAAGTAATGATCTCTAATTGTATCTTTATTATGCATTCATATAGGGGACTTTTAGAGAATGATTTGGGTTGTTGCATGCATTCATCCAACTCAATGAGTAAAGGAAAATCTGAGGGTTAATTTGTGCATCACGATTAATCTGGGGTGTTGAGTATCATAG